TTTCACTCACATTCATCTCAAGTTGGTATCAAAGCTACTAACCCTAACCCTAACCCTAGCCTCCGCCAAACATCGCAACCAACAGCAGCCTCTACTCCACCGAACTCAGCCTCCACTCCACTGACTGCCTACCAGCAGCAGTCTTCACACAGCCAATCAGCAACTCCATCAGCCCCCAGCAGCATCCCAATACCCAGTAATCTTACCGACATCCAACACTCACTAAACCCCGACAAACAACTCAGCCCACTAACAAACAACATAACACAAACACCCAACGACAAAACATACTTCCATACCAGCCCACCAATCCACCAGCGAATCAGACATCATCCACCGACTGCCCATTCTTTTTCAGCCCATCCACTTAGCAGCCAAACCCCACCGACTGCCCATCCTTTGTAATACAACATAATAATAATATAAAAAAAAAACATACCAGCCCACTACCCGCAAATCCAAACCCATAAACCAAGACAACAAATTCACTGCTCAATTTTGTTCAAATCATAACAGTTGTCCCGTCTTCTTGTGCTTTCGTACGTCGCGCTCTTCATCGTAGTGCCGCCATCTCTTTGCGTCACGACCTTTTTTTCTGGAGTTGTAGCTTCTAAGATTTTTTAAGAGGGATTGAATCCTCTTTTCTGTTGATCTGCCCTTGATGCAGTAGATCACTTATTTATATATTTTGGATTTCTGGGTACCGTGACCTGATTATTTGGGAGCTTTTTGGACCTTCTTTATTTGTTGCTACTATTCAACTGAAGGTATATTATTCTCCCTTATTTTATTTCTTTATTCATCTTAGAGTCATTTTTTTGTCACGGGTGCCCTAGTATTGTTGTTGATATGCCTACTACTGAGGGTGTTAAGACCCCTACCGTTGAGACATTTGTTAGTACTTCCACCGGGTATAGGGATCGACAGTGCTCGACCCAGCGCCGTCAGGGTACCCCACATCAGCGTAGATATGGGGATTTTCGTCAGTGTGATTATTGTCGCCGACTAGGACATCTCAGGGCTACTTGTTGGAAGTTTCATCTGGAGCTTAAGCCGCCTTCTCGTAGCCGTATTGCTGCCATTGGTAAGGCACCACCACCTACAGTCATTGCTCCTACTACTACTGCTACTGCTCCTCCTTGGAAGAGTGATATGGATGCTATCACTTATCGCTTGGATATACTTATGTCAGCCTTGACTTTTCGAGGTTCGACTACTACTGTTGCGACTACTACAGGTATACCTCGCGTCTTTCATACTTGCGCCAGTTCGTCCCCCTTTGGATGCTGGACTCGGGTGCTAATGGTCATATGACAAGTGAGGCCCATCATTTCACCTCTTTTGACGAGAAGTTACATACTCAAGTTCAGTTAGCAAATGGTACACATTCCCCTATTGTTAGTAGGGGTATAGTTTGTCTCCCAGATGATTTTACATTACGTTCAGTGTTTCATGTGCCAAAACTGGCCATGAACCTACTATCTGTACATCAGTTAGCCAGAGATTTTTACTATGCGATTGTGTTCTTATCTAATTCGTATTATTTGTAAGACCTGAGTACCAAGAGGATTATTATCAAAGGACATGAGAGAGGTGGACTGTATTATTTAGGTGATCCACCTCTAGTTTCACCAGTTTCTCCACCTCCACCTCCATCACCTACTTTGTATTTATCTATTCCTAGCTTGCATGATAGTATTTTACCTAGTACTTGTCGTTATGATTTTTTGTCACAAACTGTTTAGTTGTGGCATGACCGTTTTGGGCATACAAATTTTAAATATTTATGTATGTTATTTTCTGCTTTAAGCAAAGCTTGTGTTAGTGATAAACTTGATTGTGTTATATGTTCCCTATCAAAACATATTAGGACCAGTTATGTTCCTTGCATGCACCAGTCACCCAAGTCATTTGACCTAATACACTCTGATATTTGGGGACCCTCTCCTGTTACTGCTTTATCAGGTGCCCGATACTATGTAACATTTACAGATGACCATACCCGTTGTACTTGGGTCTACCTTTTGCATAGGAAGTTCGATGTACTCCCTATAATCACTCAATTTTTGTAGATGATTAAGACACAATTTGATGTCATTGTTCTTGCTCTTCGTTCAAATAATGCCAAGGAATATGTGTTTGATGCCTTAGTGTCTCATCTTTCTTCTCAAGGTATCCTTCAGCAACTCACTTGTCCATTTACTCTTGAGCAAAATAGGATTGCAGAAAGGAAAAATAAGAGTCTGATAGGGATGGTACATTGTATGCTTAGAGGCATGCGGGTGCCAAAATCTTATTGGCATTTTGTTGTTTTGACTTCTACCTTTCTGTGCAATCGTACGCCGAGTCGAGTTCTTCAGCATAGGGCTCCCTTACAGGTTTTATTTTCTGAGCGAACACTTTTTTCGATCCCTCCTCGTATTTTTGGATGCACATGTTTTGTTCAAGATCGGTCTCCTACTCATCATAAGCTTGATGATAAAGCAATTTGTTGTGTTTTTGTGGGCTATTGCAATCAGTCTAAGGGGTATCGGTGTTATGATCATGTTAGGTGTCGTATGTATCACAGTCTAGATGTTATCTTTCTTGAGCATATTCCTTATTTTTCTTTCAGTCTTGTGTCTGCATCTCCAGTTGATGATACTTCATTTGATTTTCCATTACCCCCGGAGCCAGAGTCATTGGTCACTATCACTACAGAGTCATCGGTTTCTCCTCCTCCAGAGCCACTCATCCCTGGTACAGAGTCACCAGACTCTCTTCCTTTGCAGGTTTATGTTCGTCGCCCTCGCTCTCATCCCCCTGCTGATGTCCCCTCTACCTCAGGCAATGCAGGTAATACTCCTCAATTTGTTGAGTATATTGATGCCCCTATTGTTAGTACTGATGAGATTGCAGGTACTGAGCCAATTATTTTACCTGATGAGACATTGTCAGTGGAGGATGATGATTTAAAGCGTCGTTATCCACGGCGTGATTGTTGTCCAGTTGATCGTTATGGTTGGACCGCTAGGATTTTATATCCGATCTCTACTTATGTTTCTTATGGTGATTTGTCTCCTACATTTCGAGCTTATAGTATGGTCTTATCAAATACGTCGATTCCTCGCTCTGTTTCGGAGGCTATGCGGAAGTCCCAGTGGGTTCTTGTCATGCAGACGGAGATAGACGCTCTTCAGCGTAATCATACATGGGATCTTGTCTCTTTACCTTCAGGGGTGAAGCCTATTGGCTGTCGCTGGGTTTACACCCTGAAGTTTTTTGCAGATGGTACTATTGATCATCACAAGGCTAGACTTATGGCGAAGGGCTTTACTCAGGTACCAGGTTGTGATTTTGGTGCTACATTTGCCCCCGTGGCAAAATTGACTATTGTTCGATTGGTTATTTCTTTGGCTGCAGAGTACTCTTGGCCTCTTCATCAGTTAGATGTAAAGAATGTGTTTCTTCACAGTGATCTGGACGAGATTATTTATATGGATGCACCACCAAACTTTCGTGGTGAGGGGGAGTATGCTGGAAAGGTATGTCGACTGCGTAAGTCTCTTTATGGACTGAAACAATCACCATGAGCCTGGTTCTCTCGCTTTAGTGATGTAGTCGTACGTTTGGAGTTCACCAGATATCATTCTGATCATACCTACTTTATTCGGCGGAATACTTTTGGACAGTGTGTTATCCTTTTGGTATATGTTGATAATATTATTATTACTGGAGATGATATTTCTGAAACTGCGCAGGTCAAGGTAGACCTTGGGAAGATTTTCAATGTGAAGGACCTTGGATTTCTGCAATACTTTCTTGGGATTGAGGTTGCCCGTAGCAGCATGGGTGTTGTTCTTTCTCAGAGAAAGTATGTTCTGGATCTTCTTTCAGATACTGGGTTGTTGGGGTGCAAACCGGCATCATCACCCATGATTCCAAACCTGAAGCTGACTGCTGAAGGTGAGGAGTTGAGAGATCCGACTGTTTATCAGAGGTTAGTAGGTAGACTTATCTACCTAGCTAACACTAGGCCAGACATTTCATTTGCTGTCAGCCGAGTTAGTCAGTTCATGCACAGACTGTGTCAACCTCATCTTGATGCAGTTTATCACATTCTTCGATACCTCAAGTCTTGTCCTGGACTTGGGTTGTTCTATGCATCAGGATCTTAGACTGGTTCTCTAGCATGTTATTCAGATTCTGATTACGAGGGAGCATGTGATGGTCGATCTATTACGGGCTTCTATGCTTTTTGAGGGACTCATCTTATCTCTTGGAAGAGCAAGAAGCAGTCAGTTGTCTCTCACTTGTCAGCAGAGGCAGAGTATCGGGCACTGACACTTGGCACATGTGAGATTATCTGGCTACGATCGATTCTTGACGAGTTAAAATTTTCAGTAACTTTTTCGTCTACATTATATTGTGATAATTGATCTGTTATTCAGCTCGCTTCTGACTCTGTATTACGAGAGGACAAAGCATATAGAGATCGATGTGCACTTTCTTCGAGAGAAAGTTAGCAGTGGTATTGTCACTTCATCGTTCGTGGGGACCAGTGATCAGGTTGCGGATCTTTTCACCAAACCTGTCACTCTATCCATTCTTCGGGACTCTGTTGTCAAGATTGGCTTAGTTGACATTTTCGCGCCTAGCTTGAGGGGGAGTATTGGAGATATAGCAGCAGCCTAGTTTATTAGGGTTTATTAAGTTTTCTCTTTTTACCTTCTTATCCTTATTGTAACTTTCATTGACTATATATACGGGGATCTACACTTAGTTTATATCCCTTTTCACTCACATTCATCTCAAGTGATATAAAAAAAAATATTTAGTTTTTAAATCCAATTTTAACCCAAGTTTAAATCCATGCTATGCTTACTACCCTCTAAGTCACTTACCTCATTTAAATCGATGAATGGCAGAGATAGAACTTGAATGTAGCAATGTCACTATATTTTGATGAGTAGATATTGAGGTCCAGATAGCATAAGGAAGTGAAAAAAATAAGAAAGGAGATGCTATCAAATGACTATGGAAGTGAAGCTCTTGCTATTTGCATGCGTAGGTGGAATCAGTTCATTAATATTCACCTGAATTCTCAAGCATCTCCCCCTGTCCACTCCTTCACTCCTCAGGTCAGCTTCCAAGAAACAACCTATCTTGTTGCCTATGATCTCTGTAGTTACTTGGTTCATTCTATTGAAAGAAAGTTAAAAATTTTAACCCAACTACATGTCTTTAATTTAAAACAACTGAGTAACAACTTATTCTTACAACTATTTACATGTCTTACAAAGCTATCGTGGGCATCAATCAAATTCATATATAATTGAGTTACAAACAATCTAAATTTCCTGCCCTTTTGGTCTTGCACACTTTGGTTTTGCTCAAATGTTTCATTGCTTCTTTTCGTCACAGACAGTGAACACAGGAAGTCTTCAACACCATTAATCATGGATTCCAATGCAGTTTCTCACAATTCAGAAACATTGTTCTTAAATCTTATAATCCAATTCTTGCACAAAACAGATAAGCAAACAAAGCAAGTCGATTAATTTTGAAGTCTTGTATGTTTTAATCATTTGGGTCGGTTTAGCATTTGCACGATTTAAGTCTTGAGGCACAATGCGCCCAGTTTGTTTGTTGGTTATTATGTGCAGTCAAGGTTTGCAGTGCGGTTATCAGTTTAAAGGTTACAACTTACAAAAGTTATCTAGCAATCAAATAGCCAGCAATTGGAGAGGCCTGAACGGACCCATTTACTTCAGAAGTAAACTACTGCCCGAAAGAGATATATTATTGGGAAATAAGGGATAGGGATAGGTATAGATATAGGACTGCAGATGATAATCATTATGGTAATAGAAAAATGGCTATTTAAGCTAGCAGTACTTTATTTTGCTTTTCTTGAGAGGCATATTTTTTGGTATTCACCTTTCCAGTGTTCGAACTATCTTGACTTGTTGGGTTTCCAAATACTATTTAATGGGTTGGTCATGAAACACATAAAAATTGTTGTAATGATGTTTCATATACAAGTGAAACTACAAATTGTTCTTGGACTAAATGTTTTTTTTTTTTTTTTGCAGCTGAAATCCGGAAGCAAAAAGCTTACTGAGAAATATACCGAACTCAAGGTATGTATGATTTGATCTGTTCGAATACAATGATATGTAGTTTCTGTACTTAGTGATGACCTTTATGTGATTTATCAGACATCTGAAAAGTTCGAGTCCTTTATCAAAAAAAAGAGAAGGAAGAATGCTGCAAAGGACCACAGATTTATGCCATGTCGACGTCCCAGCAACAATGAGTAACTAAACCAGTAGCTTTCTTACTTGCTTCCTAGGGGGTGGCTGTGCTGTGATATGGGAGGTTCAGGGGCTTTCCCTTGTGGGAGAAAGGCTGCTACAGATTTTTCCTCCAACTTTGTTGTGGATGTTTGTTGGCATGACAATCAGACTAAGACTTTTGTTGTTTTGAATTGGTCTGAGTTTTGGTGTGCCCTTGAGACATATGCCCTCAACCGCAAGCTATTTTTATGACAATAAGAATAATTGTGTAAATGTATTGAACTATAATAATATTTTGAAATATTATGGAACATTTCGAAATATTAAAATTTTGATTCATCACTGATTTAATATTTTTGTGCTCTCTCTCTCTCCTATTACTTCTAATTATGTAGTTTTTTCGTATGATACCTTTATTAATATGATATTTTTGTGTATGATTTTTTTTTTGTGTATTATTATATGTGTAGTATATATTTGTATATGTGTATTCAATGCTATTAACAATTGAGATACAAATAAGTGTTTTTACATTCAAACGTGTTTTTTATAAAATACATTAATTTAAGCATTTTAAATTTTGAGTATTCAAACAATACTTATTTAATAAAAGTGTTTTTCTTATAAACACTTTTGATAAATATTTATTTAAAATATTTTTTAGATTTCATAAGTCATCTCAAACACACTCTAAGAGACCGCGAAGACATTTCAATTTACCTTTAACATATGTTTTTTCTACCCACAAACACATCGTGGGTGATCTACCATTGAGTGAGTATCTTAATTCATATTCGGAGGATAGAAAGAAGGCTATCTAAATAGTAGTGTGATTAGAATTACACTATCCGTTACGGAATGTTATTAAATCCATGAATACAAGAGATCTTGACCATGAAGTCCTAGCTTTTGGAATGGGTTTATTCTCTGTGGGGCACTCGATAAGGACTCAGGACCTGATCAATTTACAGCCCCATTTAGTAAAAAGACTTGAGTTGTTGTTGGTATAGCATTCTTTTTAATGAGGAAAAATCAATTCTGTATCTATTCCCTTGGTTCTTAAATATGGCAATCCAACTACTTTAAATGATTTTAGGGCTCTTTCATGTTGTACTCGTACAAAAGAATGTAGTTGGTAAGGTGGTTGATGAGTCTCATGGGAAAGTATGATTTTTGAGAGTGTTTTATTTTTAATTCGAGTTTCTTACAGATTATTATGGAGTATGATGGTACCATAAAATATCTAAGGGTGAGCTCGATAAATTAGGTCATGCTATTCAGATCAAAAGTTCAACTCTTCAATATTATTTGCAGACGTCGATCTCGGACCTCAACTCTCTGTGTCCATATCTCGAGGAAGGATGTGCAAAGGACAACTGGATCCCACCAAGTCTCCCTTTTTTGGCATCAATCACCCAGCAGACGCAAATCTCGTTACACAATAAAGGGCAACCATTACAAAAGAGGAACAAGGATCTCGTCTCAGATCAAGTAAAACCCAGAATAGTTATAAATAGGATGTAAAACCCTCGAAAGTAAAAATAAGTTATTGTAGTTTTACAAAATACTCTCTGTAAATTTCACACAATTATCAATATATTCAGGAACAAGAGGCTCCTTTAAAAGTGGATTAGTCAAACTTCTGAACTGGTAAACTACTATAAATGTTTTGGATAATTACCCACTTATCTCTAATAATTACTTATGGAACTCTTTCTTCAAAGAATAATTCTCAAGAGTTACAACATTGGCTTCTTGCTCATCAAAGACTCCAGCCCTGAGAAACCCAAAGAATAATTTAATGATAGACAACTTGCATCAGTGTTGAAACTTATTTCTCGGTGTTATTCTCTCTTCCCAAGAAAGAGGGCAAATGATCGTAATTTGAATAAAAACCAGCACTCCTTCTTTAAATAATGTCTATCTGTTGTCAATGCCGTAATGTAATAATTATGGGGCCGCACCTCCAAAGTCAGACCGGGAGAAGACAACTCCTTCAACTTTGACTTGCATTCAGATGAAAGACTTTTCCAACAACAAAAGAAAAATTTGTGAGGTATTTCGATAGGATCAAAAAATACCTTTCAACATCAACTATGTCATCTAACTCGGGTAATTCCAAAAGAAATAGAAGGTTCGACGACGAAAAGATTCTCAAAAATCTCCAACAAATATCGTAGCCCCGAAAGCCCAACTACTATTTGTTAAGAGTAGTTTTGTACTCTATTATTCATTTTGTTATGATAATCAATATGATGATACCTAGCACGAACTTTGAAATAGGTAGGTAGTGTATGGTTAAGACACTCACCCCTCCCCCCCACCCCCCCCCAAAAAAAAAAAAACAAAAAAATAATAATAAAATCTAAAGATATATGGTAGATTGCAAATTTCCAATTCTGAAACGTTGATGATAGAAATTGGTATTTTGTGTGGCAAGCAATCCACAGAGACTGTTTTTGAGTATATTTTCTTCCCTTGCCCCGTTTTAAAACAGGTTTCTGCTGTTTTAGAAGCATGTGGAACTACCAAGAGACTGGTTTCAACAGTTCTTTTTTCCCTCAAAATGTGATTATTCAATACACTCTCAATCATTTTAGGCATCGAAGGCATTTTGCATACTCTTGCGTCGAGTGAGATACCCTCCAATACTTATTTTCTCCATTTTCCTCCTTGGTAGTGAGACCCGGTGTATATAGTGATTCTTTCACTAACACATGGTGGGATAATATACCAAGTTGGATAATGGAAGCAAAAAATACAGAAGGGGTCCTAATCTATCTTGCTTATTTAAATTTATGGAAAACATACTGCAAACAAAATTGGGGGGGGGGGGGAAGGAGGTATTTAGATGTATACATAAATCACCTCAAATGTAAATCGTATTGTACGACACTACGTATGTTGGGTTGTTAGGTGACAAAAGCTTTAGCACATGCAGACAGCCACAAGCTTTCTCGTGCAGTTTCGAATATGGGCATGTCATTCACAGACTAGTGTCCATCTAAGGTTCCAAGTGCCTCCTTCATAATTCTCTGGGCTTCTTCTCTCCTCCTATACAAGTATAGGAAACAATATCAAATACAATGAACACATCAGTAGATTCCAAGACAAGTATTTAACCCAACCCCTTCACCATACCATTAAAAAAAAACTAAACAGTTGTAAAGCAACCAAGTGACCAAGCTCCTATAAAAACATCATATAACTTTTGATTGTACAGCAAAATTACATATCTTCATCAATACAAATATTGCCAGAAAGCTAAGATGAAAATAGCCCTTTTGTGTAATAGAAAAAACAATCCAATTACTGTACAAGGCTGTTGGATGAGACTTCTGCCTCTATTATATGAAGCATGTTGGCAGGCTCATCTCTAGGTAAAATTGAAAATAATGGTCTACAAACACATAACTCAAAGTTAAGGCTTTAACAGTTTCAACAGAAGGACAATTTTGGGATATCATTTAAGCCATGAATGAAAAATATGAATTGCAGGACTTGATTATCACCAATGACTAAGTTATTAAAAACTAGATAAATTCTGTTTTATTACACTGATTTAGCCACGCAACCTTTCAATTGAAGCCCTACTCCTCCCTTTTCCACCAGCATTCTGCTGCTCAACCACCACCACAACCAGAAACTACATCCCATTAGCACCAGTCTCTACCGAAAAACCCTGAAGCCAATGACACTATCACCTCTCTCTCTCTCTCTCTCTCTCTGAACATAAACATCTCTGACCTCAACTTGAAGTGCAATTCGAAGCATTCTAATCAAAAGCATCAAGCCTTGAGGATGCACTGCACATGACGACTGTAAAGGAAAAAGAATCGACTGAATGCTTGAATGTAACAACAAAGAGAAGAAAACTACAGAAGATGCATCGGAAGATTCAAACTGAGAAGTTCATTAAAGCATCGAAATGAAATGAATCTGTCTCAACAGAGATTGGAAAGCATTGAAAGTGATCTTAAGGCTACTGAAATCAACAAAAATGAGGTCAATTACATATATAACACCCTCAGCTCTCTCTCATCTATTCCTCTTCATACCAACCAACAAAGCTAAACTCAGCAACAAGGCACAGCATCAAAGCAAGCTACCACAAGAAGCTCTAAGTTTCAGTCTTTACCATAGTTATTAGTATCATACGATCCACGATACGTCACAATACACCTGAAAAATGATATGTATTGTGTCTCTATATCATTTTTGCACCATATCGTACAATACACGATGTGATACGTGCGGTACGTAAAATTTTGTTTTTTTTAGTTTTTTGGGGTTGAAATGACATTATTTCACCCCCAGAACTTATTTTTAACTAGTCAATGAAATAACGTCATTTCAGTGGTTATGGTTTTAAATAATAAAATAAAATCTATTGTTAATATTGTACAATTGAATTCAAAATTCCTTACTCATATTAATATTGTTCAAGCAGTTGATGTTAGAAGTTTGAATTAGATGTCTTTGCATTTTGATATCAGTAATACTATAGTGACCAAATTCTGGGACCAAATTGGAGCCCAAATGACATGGCAACTGATTTGAGTTTCTTTTTTTGGTGTCATGCCGTTTGCGCCCCCATAAAAACTACAAATAATATATTGTCATGTCATTTGAACTCTAAATTTGGTTCCAAAATTTGGTCAGTATAGCATTACTTTTTTGATATTACTTAACTATGTTGGGAACTTGAATAGTTTGTGATATATTAATGAAATGTTGTGTTATTATGAGTATATGACTTTTTTACAAAGGTATGTATATATATTTTATTAATAATTATTTAAAATTGCGCGTATCTTACGATACACAATACGATACACAATTTTGAAAAGCGATACGTCTTTCGATATGCGATTTAACAACTATAATCTTTACATAAAACCCTAACCAGTAAGCGAACACAAAATTGACCTTTTGGTCCAAACAGAGAGTTAGATCGCTTGTTAGGACTTTTTTTGAAGTCATGTCTCAAACATATACAGAGCTCATCCCAATTTACTTATCAAAGTGGATTCCAACAAAAAACCAATTCTCCTACATTCGAAAACACAACAAGATTTTTCCAAATTCAGTATTTTTTGATAAAAACGAAAAATGTTAAGTGAAGAGAGGAAAAAATATAATGATGGTGGACAAGCAATCACACCATGGTACCAAAAAAAAAAAAAGGATAAACTCGGACCAATCCCTCAATCCTTTTCCACTACTTGCCGCAATTAAATTTTGGTGGATAAAAAATTTAGTACTACAATGAGAGAAAGATAATCAATACTCTCTATACAACTAAGGAAACAAATAAACAAAAAAAAAATTCATAAACCAAAAATCATTATTAATAATAAGGTAAGTTACATTCACTTCCCAAACATTTGGTCAAATAACAAATAGACCCCCTATTGTTTGGTAAATAACACTAACCTCCCTTGTTAGTGACATCCATCACAAAAAATATGAAATAACTATAATACCCTCCAAGAGAACTACGAAATGACCATAATACCCTTGAACATCTTGGAGAACATTTTAGTTTAAAAAATATTCCTAAACTTGGGGATCATCTTCTCCGAACGAGTCATTGAATCCACGACCCAAAGACAGTAAGAAGCACCACCCTAACCTCGCAGATTATAAGCACCACAATGCACCCAAGCCACCACCCAAAACCACAACAAGCATCCAAGCAACTACCATTTTACCATCACCATCGAGAAGTTCGCCAACACCATCACATATGGCAAATCACAATTGCACCACCACCTGTAGCCCCGCCATAAACCCACAACTTGAATCAATGCCAACAATACACAAACATGTCCTTAATCACTACCACCACCACTGCACCACCAAAGTCAAACCCAAAATACCACTCAATCAAAACCACCTACAATCTTCCAAAACCACCAAGATCCAGAACCACCACCCACAGCTCACCCACCAATAAAAAACCTAGACCTCCATCACTATAGCCCTACCCCTAATCACATACCCACAATCACCACACACCACAACTGATCACCACAACGACCACCATAACTTCTCAAAACCACAACAAACCCACAACCTCTCAACATCACCACCAATAAATTATGCAAATTTTTTTCTAGCGAGAGAAAGGGGGAGAGAGAGTACATTATGGGAACAATCGCTTCTAGCCACCTTCACTTCTCCATAACTGCAATACCCAATCTAGCCACTTCCCTCACGGGTAGAGAACAATCACACCCCATTTAGGTCTCAATTTCAACAAAACCATTTCAATCAAAACCCTTGAAGGCACAAATATAAGAGAAAAGGTGAGAGGGTGGTATAGATAAACCCTTACCTAAAAATTGTGGGACTGAATATTCAAATCCCTCATAGACGTTGATGAAGGAAGGGAGAGAGTCAAAGAACAAGGGAGAAAGAAGAGAGTGACGAACATGAGAGAGAGAAATACGAGAGGCATGATGACCACTAACCAGTGATTAAGGAGGGTCGAGGACAATAAGAAGGGAGCAAACATAAGATTTTGTTTGGCAACTAATTTTATGTTGGCTATAATAAGAATATGTATTATTTCGCAACAAGTTTAGTGTGGTTATAACCTGGATAAGGGCAATATCAACATTTTAGAAAAATAGATAGCTTACATCAATAATTTTTCGATGTTTCTCTAATGGCATACTAACGGTTGGGGGAATCTCTTACAGACTATTAATCCAAAAGGGAGTGCAGTGTTATTTATCAAACAAGAGGGAGTCCATTTGTTATTGGACCAAACCTCGGGGGAGGTAGATGTGATGTACCCTTAATAATAATATAAAAAGTGCACAAAAGAGGACAAGTAGTCTTCTATTGGTACGAAAAATCAAAAATACAGAAAATTAAATTTAGTAAAAACAGTAATACAAAGAGAGATAACAACATCTCAAGTCCCTTTGCATACTCGTGTCCAATGTTCATTTATCAATAACAATGGAGTCCCTTCAAATTATTTTGAAATATGGGAAAAGAGATCTTTTCGCATATTTCATCCAAGGAAGTCACTGTTTCATCAAAGAGTCTTTCATTTCTCTCCAATCATACCACCCAAAACAATGTCATTACCACGATTTTCCTCAAGATTTTAGCTCTAATGATAGAACCAAAACCCTCAAATTTTATAATGAAAAATTCTTCACAACTTCTCGGTTTCACCCAAGAAATCTCAATAATTGACAATAATCTATTCCACAAGAGTGAAGATATCGGACAATGAAAAAATAAATAATTTGTGCACTCTCTCACATATTTGCACAAAATGTGGATGAAGTCATATCAATGGCCTTTTTATTGGAATCATGTCATTGGCGTTGTGTTTCTTATGTGCAAGCAACCATGCAAATACATAGAAGGTGGCTTGGGCTTCCAAATCATTTTTAAGGACTCAAAAATTGGAAGATTAGGGCTATCAATCAATGAATCAAAGAAAGATTTGCAATAGAAATCTCCCACATAAGAAAGAAGCCAACATCTTTTATCTAACAAAGGTTGATCCAAAGCAATGTTATGAAACATGGATAAGAAAGAGGCTAACTCAACAATTTCTCTATCATGCAAACTCCTAAAGATACTAAAATTCTAAGAAACCGAGTAAGAATATGATGTTACCATACTTGCAATCTATGAAGCACGGACACTCAATTTTGGCTCAAGTATCTGTGTCCGACACGTCTGGGACACGGACACGTGTCAGACACGTTAATTAGAGTGTCCAATTTTTTTTTTAATTTTTTGAATTCAGACATGGAGCGAACATGTTTAAGGGTCATTTAGTAATTTTAAAATTAAAACATGGGGTCTTTTTTATAATTATTTAAAAGTGATAGGGCTAGAAAATAAAAGGCCCAAAGATTAGGAATTAAAACATAAATATATATATTTCTTATATTTCTCTATGTTCTCATAGTCGACGAAGAAAAAAAATAAAGAAAACTCCGACGACGTCTAGGCTTCTTTGTCACTCCGGAGACTTTGGTTCACTCCGGCAACTTAGGTTCTCTCCAGCAAGTCAAGCTTCGAGATTCCTCATTTTCTTGGGTAATTTTTCAACAACCAGCACATCACAGGTAACCCTCAGGGCGTCTCCCCTATCTTTAGGGCTTCTCCACTATCTTCAAGTAACCTTCAGCGAAGAAAATGTGATTCTCATCTATCTTTAGGACTTCTCCTGTTAGGGTTTTCAATTAGGGTTTAACAGGTTTTAAACCCTAACAGAAAAAAGCAAAATTGACATTTTTTTTCATTCTATTTTTTGGCTGCTATTTTTTTTTTCTACCTAATATTTTTTTGGCAAAGTCTGTCTGCTATTTTTTTTTTCATGTCTTTTGTTGTTGCAACTCTGTTGTTTTTGCTGCTGCCTGCTGATTTTGCTGCTGTTTTTTTTCTATATGAGCTGCTGCAAATCTGTTGTTTTACTTGTATGCTAATTTTTTTTTCTGTTGTTGTAATTTCTGTTTTTCTTTTTATTTTTCTGGCCTTATTTAGAATTGAAGAAAATGAGTTCTACGGGAGCTAGCAGTGCATCGTCTACTGAAGAAGACATAAGTAAACCTCTTTGAAAGTACGTTACAAGATTCAAGAAGTTGAGTGATGGTGGGGGAAATATTTCTTGGCAATGTAATTTTTGCAATCAAACTAAGAAAAGCTCATACATAAGAGTACGAGCTTATTTATTGAAATTGCTTGATTATGGAATTGGAGCATGTCATAAAGTTACAAGGCAAGATATTATAGATATGCAAAAATTAGAGGATGAAGCCAAGGAAAGTTGCGCTAAAGAAAGTACCATTGCCTCCTAGTGTCTCATTTGGGGATCATTTGGATAGCTTTGACGAAGAGGGTTATGAATCAAAGAAAGGAAAGGCGACTAGAAGCGGAAGTACTTCGGCTATTGAAAAGGCATTCAACTTGAAGACGCGTGATCATTTAAATACACTTATTGCTAGAATGTTCTACTCCAGAGGCTTACCCTTTCACCTTGCAAGGAATCCATATTTTGTTAGTGCTTTTTCATTTGTCGCATCTAATCCTTTTCCGGGTTATTTGCCACCGAGGTATAATTCTTTGAGGACTACTTTACTCCAATAAGAACATGCTAATATTAAGAGATTGCTACAACCCATTAAAAGCACATGGAAAGAAAAAGGTGTGAGCATTGTGAGTGATGGATGGAGTGACTCACAAAGGAGACCCTTAATTAATTTTATGGTCGTGACAGAAGGTGGGCCTATGTTCCTCAAATTTGTGGATTGTTCGGGTGAAACTAAAGATAAGTTCTTTATTTTCAATTTGATGAAAGAAGTAATTCATGATGTGGGCCCTGATAATGTGATTCAAGTGATTACCGATAATGCTAAGAATTGTTCGAGGGCGGGTCATCTCATTGAAGGGATATATCCTAATATTGTTTGGACACCATGTGCGGTTCACACACTTAACCTTGCTTTGCAAAATATTTGTGCGGCAAAAAATATTGAAAATAATCAAGTAACCTTTGATGAATGTTCTTGGATTATGGATATTGCGGGTGATATTGTGTTTATTAAGGCTTTCATCATGAATCACTCTATGAGATTGGCAATGTTCAATGAATTTGTCCCTTTGAAATTGCTTTCTATTGCAAGTACACGTTTTGCCTCGGTACTTGTAATGCTTAAAAGATTTAAACTCATAAAAGGTTCTCTTCAAGCCATGGTTATTAGTGAGAGGTGAAGCAACTATAGAGAAGATGATGTGGAGAAAACTAAGTTTGTGAAAGAAAAGGTGTTGGATGACATTTGGTGGGACTCTATTGATTACATACTTGCATTTACAACTCCTATATATGATATGCTTAGGGCTTGTGATACCGAAAAGCCTTGTCTTCATTTGGTATATGACATGTGGGATACAATGAAAGAAAAAGTAAGGATTTTAATATATAGGCATGAAGGAAAGCTGGTGGAAGAGTCATCCACGTTTTATGATGTGGTGCACAAAATTCTTGTTGATCGTTGGAATAAAAATAACACCCCCCTCCATTGCCTTGCCCATTCATTGAATCCAAGGTGATTTCTAATTCTTAAACTTTTTCCCCCCTCTTAATCATGCACTATTTCTTACTTCTTTCTTCTTTTCTCTTATTTAAGGTACTATAGTGATCAATGGCTTCATGAGGATCCTGTTCGAGTTCCCCTGCACAAAGATATAGAGGTTTCTCTAGAAAGAGTGAAATGCATAAAAAAATATTTTTCTAATCCAAAGGATTGTGCAAAGGTACATGAGGAATTTGGCAATTTCTCAACGAAGTCCAGAGAGTTTGGGGATATTGACTCAATCCATGATCGCTATGGAATGGACCCTAAAAATTGGTGGGTTTCCTATAGGACAAGTGCACCTTTGCTTCAAAGTTTAGCTTTGAAACTACTTTTGCAACCTTCATCTTCATCACGTTGTGAGAGAAATTGGAGTATTTATTCTTTTGTGCACTCCGTTTGAAGGAATAAGATGACACCAAAGCATGCCAAAGACTTGGTCTTCATTCAT